AAAAATATTTTTATAAATTTTATATATAATAAAAAAACAAAAAAAAAAAATGCTTGTGGGGCGGGGGGGGGGGGCATGAACTTAACATTTTATAGCAATATTTTGTGGTACTACTATGGTAACAATAAAGATCATGATGATAAAAAAACAATCTCTTTAGGTATGCTGTGACCGCATGACTCAGCATTTATGACGCCACAAACAGAAATATTGTTCTTGACAAACATTTCCATTTGAAATAGGCTTCTTCAGGACACTACTTACTGAAAAAAGTGTGATTTGTATCACTATGCTGCATCCAGACACTGCATTATGTCATATGTTTTAATTTACTGATATTTATTGAGGCTTTTGTGGAAAACCTAAAATAACATTTCCAATAATACAGTCAGTTTTTCTGGGTTTTCAAATGTTCCCACTGTTGCGTTGTCTCACTTATTAAGCTTCCAACTCCATTCCCTCAAAGATCATTTTTATTTTACAGCCACTCTGTGGCACCCAATTTCATCGCATATATTTTTCTAGTGAACGACAGGAGGTTCACTATAACACTATGACAGATTTTCTACAGGTTTTAAATATGGAGACTGCAAAAAAAAAGAAGAAAAAAAAGACACTCGAAGCAGAGAAGTGAAGGACACTACAGAGGACAAAAAAAAAAATAAATGATTTGAGCAGGGAAGGGAATAAAAGGACACAAGAATGACAGGAAGTTAGGACAGACCAAACAATGAGAAGGAAAAATGTAGAAAGGAGGGAAGATGGAATCTGAGATGTAAAGAGAGAGAGAAGGAAACATGAAAGCCTGCAAGGAAGAAAGGGACTAGGTAAGGAATGAATAACAAGAAAAGAAGACAGGGAAGAAGGGAAACAATGAGGGAGATGGAAAAAGAAACAAATGAAAAGAACAGAAGGACACATTGAGGTTTGAACTGGAGATGAAGGATCTGAGATGTGGAGGAAGACTGACAACAAGGAAAGCAGAGCAGAAGGAAGGAAACATGGAAAGATTTGAGACAGGAAGGAAGAATAAAAGAAAGAACAGGATGATCTGAGATAGGAAGTATGGAAGACAGGACACAAAGAACAGAGGACAGAAGAATGGAAGGAACCAAGAAAAGATTTGCTCTAGAAAGACAGAAAGGAAGGAACAAAACAGGGAAGAATTTAATCTAGGAAGGAAGGAATGAAAGAATGGAGGGACACATAAAAAAGGGTAGAAGAATACGAGAGAGGACGAAAAGACAGGAAGGAAATTTTGCAAAATAGAAGGTGGAGTTTGGAAAACTCAAACTGACACAGGGTCGATTTCCAAAAACCACTGGGAGAATGGCCATTCAATCCCTAATGCACACACTGGAACCAAGTTATAATGAAAACCAAGCAAAAAGAAAATGGGTTGAAAAGTTCTCATTCTACGTATCGAATGTAAATTCTTTCCAAATGCGAATGAATGCTGACAGTTCTGTATTAAAACAAGCTGTTGTCTTTAAAAGACGCTCACCTCTCCATGATGGACTGGCACTCCTTCCTCCAGGTGAACCTGCTCCCTCTGCGCAGCCTCAGAGGACCGCCTACGATCCCGGCTCTGTCGCTGGCGATGATACCCGTTCTCCAGTCGGGTTCCTCCTTCACCAAAGAGCGCATCGACAAGGTGGCACCTGAGGAACATAGGATCAAATTGATCCGTGCAAAATGTAAGAGACCTGCTGGGTAAAGTCAGGTTTCGATGAGGTTTTAATTATTCACCCAAAGGGCAGAAGTGAAACATCAGCTTTAAATCAAAGGCCTGTTCATCGGCTTTATGTTAATAAAGTTTTACCTCGCTATATATTCTGACATCCCATACATTTTTACGTGACAAAAATCACCGACATAAACTGGAATGTGGAAATGCTCCACTTCTACTCGGAGTTTGGGAAATTCCAGGTTGTAATTTCGATTTTGATTTCTGATTTTGTCAAATCAGATCTGACACGACAAAAATCTGAGATTTTCTTTTCAGGCCATGCTGCCCAGCCCTGTTTGAAATTTACAAAAGCCTCTCGACTGAATTTTTGTATATCACAGAAACAAAGATCCTAAAACTCGGAAGCAGTGAAGTATGTAAAAAAAATAATAATAAAAAATTAAATTCTCAACAACTCTATGGCCGCAATCTACTCATTAAAAGATAAGAGTCAGAAGCACATGAACCCCGTTTTAGCCATTTCCTGTCACAAACAACGGCGGTACTTTTCAGGACTACAGCTGTCAAGGAGACGAAGGGCGTCCTCCGCAGCTCGCCGCCGAGGCCGCGGTTACCTGGCTGGGCGGCAGCCGCTGCGGCGGCGGCAGCTGTGTACCACGGCAGCAGGTGCACCAGCAGCTCTCTCTGTCTGCTCCAGGACGGGTTGTGGTTGGGCATCAGGTTGGTGTTGGGGTTGGGGAAGATGTTGGGGGGGGTGCCGCTCGCCCCTGCTACCGTCCCATCTCTGTCCCCTGCCCTGGCCCTGGCCATGGGACTCACGCTGTGCTGGCTTTCACTCCACCTCAGGCCTTCATTGGGACAAAACCAATAAGTCATTGAGGCAGGCCGCGGGGTTGGGTTACACACCAGACGGTGGAGGCGGATTGGATGTTTTCTTTGGCACACTCCTGTAGACCTGCCATAAGAGTTTCTGTATTGACTCTTTGCACAGACAAATTATCTCGACTTGGACAAGCAGAAGCTATAAACGGCAAAAACAATGGCAGCCGTTTGTGCAACCCTCCCATCCCTCACTTACGGACGTGGCGCCTCAACGTGACGTAGTTGCAAAGGGTCAATTTATTTAAAATAAATACTCTCTGATCTGAAGTTTGGAGGGTTTTTCTTAATGACGGGCAGGTCAAAAGGAGTTTATGTGAGAAGCAAAAGGACAGCAGTCATATTCGGCTAGGAAACCTGGCAGAATCATTCTTGTTAGTATTCCTGCTAAAGACCGTTAGCCATGTGGGGATGAAAACCAGCACTGGAGTACCTCCAGGATCAGGGCTGGGAACAGTGGAGGAGCTGAAGCAAAGCTTTGCTTGGGTGGTAAACGGGAAAAAAAACAAAAGGAGTAACACGAAGTCTGACAGCCGATGCTGTGTCAGACAACTTGTTTCTTCTTTTTAGTGCTCAAATAAAAAAAGTCACATGATTTACTGTGGTGACATGCTGTTAAATCCAACACAAAGAAGAGCCGGGAGCATCCTGAATGCAGATTTTTTTTATCTGTGTGTGTGTGTGTTTAAGTAGCTGCTTTGTAGGACATGAAGAGGTCAGAACCGATTCAAGCTGTTACTGTAGCCGGCGCAGACAAAACCACCTTCACTTCCTAACCAGAGGGGGTGGGGGGGTTATCGATTAGAATCTCCTGTGACGGGACTACCTTTATCATTTTGTCTTCCCTCTGAAACCATAGATGTGTCCCGAGTCCTTCCTTGACCTCGCAGCCCTTGAGGAGCGGGTTGGGCGTTAGCAGAAAGGAATAGCCATGCAGGAGGGATGAGGAGAGGGAGCAATGTAAGGGGTTTTGGGGGAAGGTGAGCAGGCGGTGGGTCAAAATTCACAAAAAACACAATCAGTATCATCATCCGTTTAATTTACCCCCATTAACCTCAGGTTTGCTAGTTGGTCTGCGGCTGGCAGTGACAGAACTCCCATGTGGTTTTCCATCTCCTCACCTGGGTTGTTCCTCTCCAGCAGGTACCAGCGGTAGAAGGCTCTGCGCTTGGAGTCGCTCATCTCCAGGCCTTGCTGCAGCAGCCACTGGGAGATGTAGCTCTGGCTGATGCCTGCGCAGCAGAGGTCAAACGAATGGTTTCAACAAATCATTTCCTTTGTCCGTTTTTATTACATCTGCGCGCAGATCAACGGTCTCCCTGTTAATTTAATGAAGGCGCGTCGACGCCGGTGTTTTATTAAAGGATGTGTGTGTGGCCTCGTGAGGCACGCGGCGCTCCGTTTTAATACGCCACGTCGTCACAAACAAGACCCGACTTCTGCATTCTCACATCTATTATTAGGGTTCGTATTAATAGACTTTAAAAAGAAAAAAACTGAGAGGTTGTTGTATGGAACATTATCAAAGCTAAAACTCAGACAGAATGTTTTCTCACTTTGTCTGCCAGTTTTGTTTCTGGATGTTTTTTCTGTTCTATTGAGTATTACTTAATATCCTACCAAACTGCACTTAAGAGGAATTATAAATATGGGAAATACAGCATTTCTTCTTTGTAAAACACTTCACACTTCCTCAGTCTTTTGCAAGTCTTGCCACAGAATCTCAACTTAAGTGGGCCACTCGTTAATCTAAAGCCGCATATTTAGGTTCATCGTCAGGATATCAAGTCAAATTTAAAGGGCCAGTATTAGGCCTTTTAGAGCCCAAGTGCCATTTTATAGCACAAACAAGTAGCTATGTTAACTTCAGTTGTTAAAAAAAATTCTATATATATCAAATATGACTTCAAAGAAATTTTACCTTCGTAATTTGTTGCTTTGAAATTGGGCCTCTGTCTCTTTAAAATCTTCTACTCTTCCTGGTCTTAAAATTAAAACTTAAAAAAACTAAAAATATAGGGAATGCATATGGCCCTTAATACAGTGCTAAGCTTAAAAGGCTTTTTGAGCAGAATGCCTCATATTGGTTGGCAACAGGAGTGAAAAAAAAAACAGATAAATTTGCCCTAAAAGGGAGGCGACTCTCTCTTCATTCATCTCCTATGGAACCAACATGATGAGGCAACAATCTCTTGCCCGATCATTGACGCTTGTGAAATTTTGAGCTCATATAAGTAGGCGTGCACACTCAGGGTGAAACCCAAAACACGGAGCACGATAGCAACAGCAGGTGAATATTTTCCGACATCGTCTCGTATCGTTAGCCCACGTGTGCACGCCTACTTCTACGAACTCCAAATGTCACGTGATGCACAAATTTTGCCGGTCGTTTGGCTGGAGGAGGGCAAGCGATTGTCGCCTCGTTGCACAAGTTCCACAGGAAATGATTAGAGAGGAAGTGATGTCGGAAGTGACTTTTGTCCTTTGACGTGTGTTGAGTCCTTAAAGGATAAAAGTCAAACAATGGATCTGTTAGTCTTTGACTTCACAATGAAGCACCAATTTCTGTTGGTTTATCATCATCATTATCAATGAAAACATGAAAAGATGTGGAAGAGTTTAAGTGGTATGAATACCTCTAAATACTGAATAAGTAGGACAAATCTTATCTATGGAGAGCCTTAAGTTCCACACGCTAACAACTGAAGGACAAGGAGAGAAACGTCGTTGCTCGATCAGTCTGCAGACAGGCTTTATCTAATTGTACCTAGCTATAATTTAGGCACAATGACAGCAGAAGGACGGACTCGACAGAACATTTGGTGACAGGAGGCGAAGGGTCAGATTGTTCTGTTATTTGCATCACCAACTTTGAATTCATGAGCCGTTTTTATTTAGATTTCATCAAGTTGGTCAGAATAAAGAAGAGTTCATGAGACTCTGCCATAAGTTAGAGACCTCCTAGAAAACATAAAACCAGCTCCGACTGTAGATATTGAACAGTTTCTCTGATGTGCCAGTTGCAGCACAAACAAAACGCCCTTTTCATCGCCATTAAAATAAGAGGCTTCCACCCAAAGTAGTTCCAGTGCAACATCAGTGTAGGTCCTAGAACTGGTTCTAAAAAAAAAAAGAAAAAAACAAAACAAAAGAAAAGTCAAATTGTCTGTTTGGTTTTCAAAAGTCTGAAAAGAATTTGGTGTCATCCTGTTACATCACTAAATAAGCTATTTCAAGAGTTGATGTTTGTTCCTCTGATTGTTTTGCAGACATTGTACTTTTTATTTGAGTCGTAAGCCCAAATCATGTGAATTGTAATAATGTTCTGTGATTTTTATGAATATGAACAGTATGAACAATACTCATGTAGTTGAAAATTATGAAGTTATAGTAATATTTGGGGGCGAAAGAACATGGAGTTACTGGGCAAGAGACGTATTAAAACCTACCATCATCAGTTGGAGAGAACATGAATATTATATTGCCTAAAATGCAATAATGTCGTAATCCTTTACTGGATTTGAACTGGGTGAAGCTAAAATAATGCCAACGAGGAGTTGTGGATGAAACACAATTTACAGACACAGGTGGGGGTTTTTTTATCTTAAAGGCAAAATGTGTTTGTATTTTAAGGTAGTTTTGGCTTCATTGATGATGTTTTTTTAATGTTGCTGCTGCAAGTAACGATTATTTTAGAAATTAGTTATCTTCACGATTAGCTGATTAATCAGTTAAAAAACACGACACATTCTGTGGTTTTTCTCAAACCGCGTATATTATATTATATTTCTTTCTTATTAAAAAGGTGCAAAAGAAATAAAATTATTCAATTCCTTCTTTAAAAAAAGAAGATAACCATAGTATTCCTTTAGTGAATTTTAATCACCTGAAGCTAAAACATATTTCCTACAGAGCTGTTTTTTCCTAGCACAAGGTCGTTTTTCTATGCTCCAGATAACAATTAATAGACGACAAAATTACTTAGCAATTATTTCAATAATCGATTCATCGTGACTAACTGGATTAATGGTTTCACTGTGGATGAAGGAGGAGTACCTGTGACCTGGCCTACAATGGCCTGAGAGATCCGCCGGTTGTTCAGGAACGTCTTGATCTCCTCTTTCACCAGGTTGCTGTCTCTTCTGCAAAAAAAAAGAAGATAAAAACTCATCAAGTTAACAGAAAAAAAAAAAAATCAATTACCCAGTGGGTAACTAACTTTCCTCGCTGAGGATTCGCTTTTCCCAGCCGTCCCTAAACGCCTGACCCGAATTAACTCGGATACGGCTGGTGGATAATGAGCCTGCGGCGGCCTGTCGTCCTCTCACCTCATGTACTCCTCCACCTTCTCCTCCAGGTCCCACTCCTCCTCGCCCATCATGTCGTAACTAAACGCCCGCTGCACCACCACGCTGGGGGGGTACAGGGGCGGCGGCGAAGCCTCGTAGCTGTTGCTGGGCGACAGCGCCGCACCTTCGAGGCCTGAGGTCTGGGTGGTGGCCGAGGCCAGGGAGAGCGAGGACGACGACGAGGAGGACGATGAGGACGGGGCGGCAGCAGCGGCGGCGGGCGCGGCGTTGCTGGGCGGGGCCGGGTGGGAGTCGCAGCGTGGCGGCAGAGGGAGCGGCGGCGGCGGCGGCGGGCGGTGCTCCGGGTCCAGCCTCTCCAGGGACTCCAGGGCGTGGAGGATCTGGGGCTTGGTCATGCCGGAGAGGCGCAGGCGCTGCAGGAGGTCGATCTGCTCAATGGTGTAGCGCGGCTCCACCTCGCACGCCTCCATCCTGGGGTCTGCAGGCACAACACGAGGCGTTCCAAACCGTTACCAACAGCACGCTGCTATATTTATCCCTCCACACTGATAATCGACCAAAGGATTATTAATAGATGAAACAGATAAGATAAGGCATGCTAATTTGAAATCAAACACCTCCCAGTCTTTGTGGGTGTCCAACTGTTAGGTTAAAAAGCAAAACAGGCATAAAAGTATTAAAATGGAATAGAATCAGACTTCATTGTTTATGTTAAAGAGGAAATTCAGCACAACAGCAACGTCGGGTGTAAATACTGACACAAAGAAAGTTCTTAAAAGTGTAAAAACAACAGATAAAATACCAGAGTGAAAAAAACAACAGTAATAATAATAATAATAATAATAATAATAATAATAATAATAATAATAATAATAATAATAATAAACTGTACAAGACTATAAGTGAAAAAAGTGTGCCATTATTAGAAATAAAAATATCAGATTTGCGATAAAGGTTTATAATCAGCCTTTTATTCTCTTTATTTCACATTACAAGCATAAAGTTCTAAATATTTTTACTGGGATTTTATGTGAAAGAGAAAAATAGCGCAGAATTATGACACATTGTGAAATTGAAGAAAGAATGTCATGGTTTTCGACTTCTTTTCTATAAAAATTTGAAAACTTTGGGAGGTATCTGCGTTGAACCTCTTTATCCCGACACGTCCAAATAAAATCCTTTGTAACTAACTGCCTTCAGAGGGTCAATGATAAGTAAATAAAGTGTATTTGTGTGTTATTTATAGCAGCTGTCTGCAACCTGTGGCTCTTTGGAACACAACGGCACTTTAAAACTCATCCTTAATATGAGAAAGAATAAACTAATGCTTTAAACATTAATTTAAGAACAAATGCCATTTTTATGGAACAAATAGATTTTTTATGAGGAAAAAGTACCAGTGACATTGTTTTAGATGGGGCTGCTTATTGTTATTAAGTTGAAAACTATTGAAAACTATTTTTTTCCATTTTTGCTTTTTCATTATCTATTAATTTCAACAGAAAGAAACATGTCCAAACTTATGCAAAATTTTCTGTTAAAGTTTTATGTTTTTCTTTAGTTGAAAACCTAAAAACAGTTAGAAGACGGGGGCTCTTTAAAAATTACAACAAATTTTCTGAAGGAGATATTAATATAAAAAACAAAAAACTTACAAAAAGATAAGCTATGTAGCGGAAATCATAAGTCGTCTTGTTTGGAGTTTACCACAAGCCGTGCAGGGGACACAGCCAACGTGTTAGCCAAAACCAGCTCTGTGCAGCAGCGTGAACCTTGCTGTGGTAAAAACATGGTGATGGCAGCATCATGCTGGGGAGATATCGCTCCTCATTAGGCCAAACTTTCAAGCAGGATAATGACTCTAAACATACAGCCGGTGTTATAATTGAATGAGTTTGAATGACAGCAAAGTTAAGAATCAGATTGGCCCAGTCAAAGTCCAATCCTAAATTTTTCATAATGCTGGAAAATAACACTGTCCAGATTAGTTTGGCTGAACTTGTGATACTAGTACATACATATATATATATTTTAGAATCGCTTCGCTAATGGTGGATTTTTATTTTATTTTTTCTATTTGAGGCATTGGATGTTTGCAGCTGGATCCAATTTAAATTGAGATTTGGCAAAGAAGAGTCGGCCAATATTTTTGGCCTGCAGGTATAAAATCACGTAGAGACGTACTCCACTTGCAGCTAAACAGTAGCTTTATCCCAGAAAACTTCAGTAAAAATGCATCCACGTTTGAGGCTGTGACATGACTACCAATGAGGGGGGAAAAAAACAAGAAACAGTTCAAAGGGCTGGAATACTTTTCCAAGGCTCTGGAGGTTGCGTTAGAGAACACTGCTTTATAGAATTGCATAAAACACACTGCATTCACCTCTGTAGAACCAGTGGGTCACTCAAAGTTCTGGCAAGCTTTCAAACACTTGGCACAGACACTTGAGACTAACCTTGGTCAGTTTGCCCAGGGAAGAATTAAAGTAAAATCCTCCCAGCATGCATAAATTAACAAGCTTTCTTCAACATCATGGCCAGTCGTTTGTACTTCTGCCAGTCGTTTGGAGTACAACAGGAAATTTGACACTGTCTCTTATTATTCATAACTAACTACATTTTTTAAAAACAAGACCGCACTTTAGGATGAAAAATATACATATAAACTTTGTGAATAAACAAGGGAGAATTGACCGAAAGAGTGTACGCGACTGATTATTATCAACGCATTACTCTGTAAATATGTTATTTCACTGGAAAACTGTAAGCGACTGTCTTGAGTTTTGGCTTTAAAAAAATAACAACAGCTCCTCTCATCCTTCCCGATGTTTCCCCCACTTACCCGACGGAGGGGGTGACACGGACAGGCACCCCGGGAGTGGCTCAGCGCGAGGGGTCGCAGTGGGGACAGACCACTGTCGCATGGCTCCGCGGACTTCAGCTCGGCTGGAACCTCTACGGACTCAGACAGGAGAGACTCACTGCAGTGTGCTGCGGTTAAACTGTCCCCATTAGCATGCTGGCAAATCACTCGCTAGCAGGCTGGGTTAGCTAAGCTAGCGACATGAACTCTGGTTGGTTCCCCTGAGCGACAAAAACAATCTTGCTGTCTTGTTAGAGATTTCGAGTTGTTCAAAAATAAAATAAAATAAAAGCGAAAATGATACACGTCGTATCTGGGCTGGACCAGAAGATATAACTTTTAGATAAGCAAACAATTTGCGTTGCGTTTACATTGTTCCCAGCTTTGCATTAACGCTTTGAAGCATTTTGTGGTCAAAACAGGAACGGTCTGATACTATGCTTTTATTTTGTAGAACAACGGAAATCTCAAATTGGTCTATGAACATCTTGACGCTGACTTATTTCAGCTATCTACCAAGACTTGCACCCTGCGGGTAAAGTGACTAAACAAACAATTTAGAAAATTTAATGGCAACAAATATCTATATTTTTATGCTTAGCTGTAAGCAACTATAGGTTGTGTTTTACCGAAGAACTTAAACGCAGTCAACTTAGCGACTTAGTCTGCTAACTACTAGCAACGGGGACCGTAACTGCCCCACCAACACCACTCTCAAGACCCAACACCACTGTCAGGCCCCACAGTCCGAAAACCCCTTCCGGTTCATACAAGACGATGTTGCAGATTGGCCTTTACGCTCTGACGTAGATGCGCTCTGGCGTTGGCGATGCGCACCGGAAAGCTATATTCACATCTGGGCATTGGATAATAAACTATAAAAATAAGTTATAACGAACATATAGAAATTTATGTTTGGTTTACTATGTCTTTGTTAAAACGGTGCTTTTATGCAACAAAACCTAAACTGCCAGGAAGACTGTTTATTTTGTATAGATAAGGCTGATATCAGTAATTAGAACTTTTACCTTGTCTCTAAAGTCATTGAAGACTAGATCTCCATGTAATTAATGCAGCATATAAAAAAAAGCCAATATCCTATGCCGTTTGGGTGCATGAGATACAGCACCCATTAGTGTATAATTTTTGATGCAAATATTTCTGAGGTCCTCTAACTCTAACAAAGTTAGTTCTTTGAATAAAACCCTCTGTGTGAAATCTTATACTTGTCTTTTACCCTGTGTTTGAAGGTAGAAGATAAGCATAAATATTACAGGTGGCCTGTGACTACAGGGAATAGCTACAGTAAGTAAGTTTTTCTAAAAACGTACAATACAAAACAAATTGATGTGTTAAGAAGTTTAGATAAAAACTTGCAGTGAAAATATGTGGATTAAAGTTAATACTGCACCCATTCTGATATTAGGGAAACCAGTTAACCTTTTTGGACTGTGGGAGGAAGCCGGAGTACCCGGAGAGAACCCACACTTGCACAGAGAGAACATGCAAACTGCATGCAGAAAAAAGGGCTGGAATTGAACCCAGAACCTTCTTGCTGCAAGGCAACAGTTCTACCAACTGCACCACTGTGCACCACGCCTTCTTTTTTAAAATCTTTAAACTTGTATCTTCATGGTGTGGTCTGTTCTAGTGAAATGAAGTTCGTCTATCCATCCATCCATCCATCCATCCATCCATCCATCCATCCATCCATCCATCCATCCCTGGGGCAGGGAGGGTTGCTGGTGCCTATCTCCAGCTAATGTTCTGGGCAAGAGGTGGGGTACACCCTGGACAGGTCGCCAGTCTGTCATAAAATTAAGTCAATATGTTAACTTAAGTTAACATATTGTTTAAGTTTGGAAGCAGGGTCACGTCCAGACCACACCTCTAATTATATGTATTTATCTAATTTCATCCCTTTGTCTCATCCATCCATTTTCTTACACCTGATCCCATTGAGGTCTGTGCTGGTGCCCATCTCCAGTGGTCAACAGAATACTGCTACAGACGGAGTAGCTCTGTGATCTTTATAGGTCTCACTAGCGCTAGACTCCCCGTGCTGGTCGCATCGGCTACTACATCTATTAAAATTATATTTAACCCAAACCACTGAGAGACACATTATAAATGTAAACATTAATATTTAAGTCTGTAATGTATACAATATGCAAATATTTTTTGCATATTGTATACCTCCGATTTATGATGAAGACATTTCAGTCCATCACATCAGGATTCTGCTTCTATTCTTACAAATGTTGCAATCTTCAAAAATAAAGGTTGAAGACGTTAATAAATAAATCTCTGAAAGATTCTTTCTCTCATTATTTTTGACATTTAGCAAAGAGAAATAATTTTGGGAACTAACTAACCTAAAACAAGACGAGTTTGGTCTAATTCATTTTCAGATAGAGAAAAAAACTGTTGTGTCTATTTAAAATGTATATGAATGTCTGGTTTCAGCTGGAAGAGCCCGCTGTTTTATTTATTTATTTTTTTACCTTTAGACTACCACTACCAACAAGCTAATGCAACAGTCGGTTACCATGGTGACTGAACACTTGCTGCTACCCCAAAGATGCTGCAGGAGTTCCTAACATCTAAAGATGTAGTGTAGTTAACATTTTTCACTCTGGACAAACAAAACTTTGTTTGTGCTCCACATTTGCAGTTTGTAATTACATATTTTTATTTGTCAGCTTTCATGGTAGCAAATAAGAATAGCTAATGTCTGGAACAACTGATCAAGAAAATGACTCATTTTTGATGGCTGCAAATCATCTTTTACTCGTACATCAGAGCATAGACATCTTTAGGAGTTGCAGAAGAAAAAGTGTCACTTGAACCTAAACAGCTGCATGATTTTTGTAAGTTAAAGGTGCTTAAGACAACATATAATAGAGAAAATATTTTCTGATGCTAATGATCTCACTCTTTTTCTCATAGCATCATTTCTCCACTTGGTGGCAGAAATGTCATAAATATTTGATCCCTAAGATGCATCAAACACAATGAAAGATTCCTACACATATTTCAAAGCATTTATTCCAGTTGCCCTGATTTATAGTGTAAATTAGGCTTCAGGATCCTGTCAAGAAAATTTGATTTTCTTTTAGAAACTAGATTGCTCTTTACAGTAAGAGGACTCTACCCTTGCTTTAACAGGTCTCAATTTGGAGGATATCTATGAGCACTAATTTCCATCAAATGTAATTATTACTTTTGTAAAGATTTTTCCTCATTCTCTGCCAGTTAGCTCCTTCAAACTAGCCAGCGGCAATTAGCAGAAAGTAAAACTACACATCAGCTGAGCTCATTACAGGAGCCACTTCTCAGTGCAACGCTGGTAAAAATGTTGTTAAAAGGTTAATAGAGGAGCGATGTTGTGATCACTTCCTGAAGGCGGAGTTTCAGAAAGAGCAGGTATGTTTAAAGAGACAGAGACCCAAAAAGGTGTGAAATCACGAAATTAAATTTATTTTAAGTCATATTTGAGTTATACAGCATTTTTATAACAACTTAAATAGTCATTGTTACTTGACTGTGCTATAAAATGGAACTATGTGCCTGGAAAACACATACTGCCCCTTTAAATAAAATTATGTTCATTTTTAGTTAGATTAAACTAATTTTATTGATCTAATACATTTATTTAATACGGCTATTGAATTTCCTTTAATTAAAATCAACCATAAAGTAATGTATGTAACTTGTTTAATTTTCTTCAACTCCAACAGTCATCACCTTAGCAGCTCCATAAAGTTCACTTCTGTTTACAAGAACAACTGTGATGTAAGCGACACTAAACGATTTGAAAAATTCGACTTCATTTCACAACAAAAGCTGTCACAGACGACTGCTAATTAGCAGACGGACTTTCAAAATAAGAGAGAGGCGTTTCGCAAAACGGCTCACTCAACACTGAACGCGCCTTGAAATGAAACGCCGTCCCTGCTTCCTCAACTTCCCACAACAACAACAACACCACCACTGAGCCTCTCTTAGAGTGAGAAAACCTCAGCACTCCCACGGGTGTTTCTCTTATTTTGAAAAGCCAGAGACTCACAGGTGTCACGGCGGCTGTTTGACCGGACTGAGGAGGAGAAGGAGGAGGAGGAGGAGGAGGTGTCCACGCGCTGAGACCTGACCACACAGGACCCGCCGTCAGACACACCGCATGGTGACCTAACAGAGAGGGGCATCGCAGGTAACTACAGCCTCACCTGTCCGCCTTCACCGAGCGTGGACCACCTTCACTGTGTTTGTTTAAGTGTTGTGCTTGGCACAAGGTGTTTATATTTTTTGATAAACCTCTTTCAAAATACATTTTAAGGATTTTAAAATGTATTTTGAATATTTACGCTTTTTTTATTTTTTATTTTTTACAGCTGTTTTAACCATTTTTGCCTCCGTGCTGTTAGCTTTCGTTTTAAACTGTGACTTAGAGATGACAGGTCTGTTTGGAATCTTCTGCAGCCGTATTAGTTTAATATCCTGTTGGACTGCTCTCCAACAGGACTCCCAGGTTGTTGCCTCAGGACATGAGATGTCTTTGGTCGTTACGGAATGTCAGTATGGAATTCCTCACATGTAAAGATTGGAAAAGTAGACAGGGTAAAAGATTAAATCAGACTCGGTTTGGTTTGGTTACACAGATAAAAGAAATGTAACCAATAAAATGGGTTTATCAATGTGCAAACACTTCATCTTAGCACTTAAAAAATGTTAATCAATATATCTGAGTAGAATTTAGATAATCCTAGCAGAAAAATATGGAAAGAAATTAAACTTCAAATAATGTTTTTTTTTTTTTAACTTTATTTAGAAGTTCTCTTAAAAGTAGTGCAGCAGTTCTGAAAAATATATTTCATATCCAAGAACAGGGGACATAACAGAACTAAAAGAGAATAAAAAATTAAATACGAGTTAGAGATTAAAGTTGTATGCATTACAAATACTTGTTGTTTTTCTAACCTTTTTGTTGTTTGAATCTGAGATTGTATGAATGCCGTTTTTACATCCATTACTAACGGGGCAAAATATGCGGTTTGTTATACATTGTTTTACTTGTGTGAATATGAAACTTGGCAAGAAACAAATGATTGATTAGAAATGTGGCAGAAGAGTCTTCCGCCTTGAAATCTGTGATACCAAACAAAACACTTTCAATATAGAGTAGGAAATGATGTTTGGTATTAGTAGAGAACTGAATCTTCAGCTTGTCAACAAGTTTGACTTGCTGTAATGAGATGAGTTTTAACTGAATATGAATTTAAATCTTCTTTTTTTTAATCTAAGCTCATATTCATTCATAAATCAACCCAAAGGACATCTTCCTCACCAGTCTCTGCTTGACACCAAACATTATGAAAGATTCTAAAAATAGGCTGAACAAACAACTTCAGTCAAATGCATATCAAAATATATAGGTAGGATTTCTTGCCAAAACCATTAACCATGACTGAACATTAAATTTTCAAATTAATATCCTTGATTAGACGCTCTAAAGATCAGAACCTGGTTTGCACCAGTTTTCCGTGGTACAAACCAAAGTGCGTTCCTTTAGGACAGCTCATTAGAGCGTTAATCTGGTTTGGGTCTGTCTGTGTGCTCACACTGTACTGTAGTTATGTACTCAGCAGCCAATCATTAACACAGGTGACATCCGCTGTGCGTTTGACCCAGCTGCTGATCGATGCGACAAGGTCTACGCCTGTCGTAACGTTGTCGGGGATTTCTGTCCCTCGGTGTGTAACCCCCCGAACTCTCCACGTCCAGGAATGTGTTGCGACAACCTGGAGGAGCCGCTGGCACTGATGAAAATGGGTCTGAGCGTGATCCTCGTCGGTCACGTCAACTTCCTGATGGGGGCGCTGGTGCACGGCATCGTGCTCCGGCAAATCAACCTGCACGAGAAGGCGCGAGGCATGGTGTACGCCATCTCCAACGTGGTCACGCTCTTCTCCGGCATTTTGGTGAGTGCTGGGCGGACTCTGTGGAGAAGCAGTGAATTATTTTTATTTTTATTTTTTTTTTTCGTTTGTTGGTTAATAAATGTAATTGGGCTCAAATTTTCCAAACCAGAATTTTTGCTTTTGCTTTCCTTATTTGGCTTTATGGTCTTCAACACATGAACTTGTACATTGGGAATATTTTTTTTTATTCCCCCCACCCCAAAGTCTTGCAAGGACAGATTTATTTTGAAATCCTAAAAAAGATTAATACGTGTTTTGTTTTTGTTGCTGTTGTTTTTTTTTGTTGCTTTTTTTAAATGACGATATGGATGAATTTTTGTTTTTGTTCATTCTTAAAAACATGTTCCAATACACAAGTTGAAATTCCACAAATGAGGTGTGAAGAAAAACCATCTTAAACCTGTTCAGTGTCAGTTAGAACTGCTGTATGTAACTTTTACAAAAATCTGTTTTCCATATTTCTTAACTGTAACCATATGCAGCCATGTTTGTTAAAACTGTCACCGTGAGACAGTCTGTGAAAAACTCAAGCTCCTCCACCTTTTCCCTCAGTTTCTGTTGTCGTCTTAAGAAATTCACCACTCTAGGTCAAAAACAACCAATCAGAGCCAGGAGGAGGGTCTTAGCGCTGTCAGTCATTCTTGTGTACTGCTGCTAAATAGGCTAATGGTGGCGAAACAACTTACCGATCCAGATAAATGTGTTTTCCGCTGTCATTGATGGCAGTGCTAACTAGTATTAGCATTCGTGGCAGACTATGTTGTGGTGAACCAGCTACAGCGTAGCAAAGAGCAAGTGGAATATGTGAGCAGCAAGTACACGATAGTGATTGACAGCGCTAAGACCCCCGTTCTGGCTCTGATTGGTTGGTTCTGGCTGAGTGGCTTATTTATATAGCTAATATTTTTACTGTCTAATACTGTCAAGACAAAATGATCATTTTTACATATATATATATATATTTAAAATAAAATGTCCATTCTGTCATGTGAAGAGGTGATAATTTGAGGTTATTAAGGCTTTATCGTTGTTTAGGCAAAAATAGCTTTGTTTAGTCTTTTATTCTTTGTAAATTTTTGTTAAAATGAATTTGTATTTCAGGGAGAATTTAATGCTTAAAAAGCATTAAATTCATGTATCTAAAATTAAGGTCATAAAATGCCTTAAATTCACTTTAAAAAGTAAGTTGTCCTTTAATGTGTTAATCACATGTAACTTTCCTCTTGACAGGACTATTTAATCTCGTATATTGCGTGTGTGTTTTATTTCTCGCGACTATTGTGTCAGGCAAAAGACATCTTCATGGCGTTCTGTGACTCGATACGATTGATGCTACTGCTGACTAGCTGCTATTAGACCCCTGTTAAATTGGAGTGAGTGATGCCTGCAGAAACTCTTAATTTGAATAATTTTAGAACATGACTGAGCCAGATGATGTTGTTGTTTTAGTTGTTCTTATCTTCTTGTATTTAACCCCAATGGCAATATCTACACGCTACAAAATTATCCTTCTGTGAATTTTGATGAACCTGAAGGAGAGCTGGAGCTTGTGAAATTAAATTTTGGGGTACATTAGCATCACTTTTGTTAAATGTGACAAATCCATCACTTGTCTTTGCTCTTGGTAATTTTCTTTTAATCTCATCAGTCTTCTTCCTGCAGGGTGTCATCGTTGGGATCCTCGCTATTATCCTGTCGAAAAACAAGAAGAGCAAACGCCTGGTTAGTATTCCCTCAGCTTTTATTTGATCCTGCAGGTATTTTTTCACCCTCCCTGATGTTTTCATATCTTCTCTCCTGCTTTCTGCTCTGATTTACCTTTTATGAAAAATCTAATCTCCAATAGGGTGCTCGTGTCCTGCTGTGTGCATGCACAAATTGATGTTTCACAGCACCGCTTTGTTTTCTCAGCTTTCCTCCCTTTATGACTTATAACTTAAAACAAGTTGTTTCAGTGAGGCCCTGTGGAGCTGGGAGAGTCTGTTTTTGTTGTTTTTTCCCATCTCTCTCTCTGTAGACAGAGCTTTTTGCTCCGTTTACTCAGTCAGCTGTCCGGCTGCTCAAACAAGACTGACGAGCCAACCAGCTGAGCAGAGTCGGCTTCAGCGTGATTAAGCCACTCCCCGTTTCCTTTTGTTGGCAAGAGCCAGCATGAGGAGAGCGGGGGATAGGTTAGCATGCAGCCGTTTAGCTCCTCAACCGTCTTATGTCAAGTAGTCATTAAGCGACTCGAGAGCTGAATGAAAGTGCTCCTCTTATGGCGCTGTGGCTGCTTTAAAATATATGCTCCTCACTATAAATCATCTGATCTGTCGTTAACCTTTGATTTGACTGGTGAGTCATCTCAGTCATTTTTAAAGAGCTAATAGCTTCTTTTTTTTTTTTTTCATTTTTATAAAGAGTATGAGCTCACCTAGGCAGTGTCATTTATTCTTACACATAGTCAATATTAAAACCCTCAGACTCTTAAATGTTGCATGAAAAATATTTTTTATAAAGGTTGGGCAATCTTTAAAAAAAAAAAATCTGTCACTCATGTTTAAAAGGCAGTACAAACAAAAAGCCACAATGTTTCTTTTTTTAAGGGTTTTTTTTTTTGCTCTAGTGGCCTTTATTTGAAAGTGCTAAGACAAGAAAAGTAGGTGAAGAAAGAGAGAGAGAGAGGGAAGACATGGGGCAAAGGTCACTCGACCGGGAATCGAACCTGCGACAGCCGTGTCGAAGACTAAGGCCTCCTTTTGTGGGTTGTGCTTTACCCAAACAAATGCGATAAACAACTGTCAACAGACTACTTTATATTAGTAAAACATAGCAGAAGTGAATGGAAGTAGCTAAAAAGTCCACTTTTTTTTAAACACACCATCAGCATTCAACCATTCACTATTCAACATGTCAATGGACCCTAAAAGTCACTTGAGTTAATGTTACATGTGACGGTTAGAAAGGAAGTTAAAATATTCACCGTTTGGCTCAGACATTGAGAAAAATGCTGCTACAGTTAATTACTGTTTGCTTCTTCCACTGATTTTAATTTGCTTTATAACACAAGGACAAAGCATGTTTAAAAACAACAGCAAAAACCCCCCCCAAAAAAAACACTTTGTTGCTTTCAACCTAGTAATTTTCAAGAAAGCTCACCCACTTTTCCTGGATTGAGGATGTTTTGGGAAAGTAAAAGTGCTCACTCCAATCTTTCCTGTTTCTGATTTGGATCTTTTAAAATTAGTGCTTAACCTCTGGTCTTTCTAAAGCTCCTCTTACTCACGGATTTTGTCTTTTTGTCAAATAGATCCGCTGGTCAACATTGCTCATCATTACTGCATTGTTTATTTCATATTTTCATATGTTCTTTTTTTATTTAATCAGTGTTCTTTTTCTCTACAAGTAGAAATAGCTGATTGTTCTTTAATTCATTGTTTTCTCTAAAACGTCTTCGCGATTAAATAAAAACTTGTCCAACATTTCTAATTTAGAACTTTAAGTTGAAATTAGCTCGAAAATGTTTAGAAAACCAACATCCTGGTAACCAAAGGCTACACATTTTTCATTAGAAATTGGCAATATGACGGTGGTTAGGTGCGTCTGTCTAGCTCTACTTGTTTTCTAGCCGTTCTAAGAACTTTATTTAATAAAAGTCCAAACCATCTTTCAAAGCTCTGGCTGGTGCCTTCCCATTCCACCTACTGTTTTAATCGTCGTACTGCATGTCTCGTTTATGCTGATTAGTGATGACATGACACTATCACTGGGAACAAAAGATGACGGATGATGATAGTACAGTTTCAGTTGGCCTTCAGAGAGCCACAACAGTGAGTCAGCTTTGACAAGCCGTCAATAACTCGCCCATTTTAATCTCCATGACATGTCGACAGGTTTTCTGCCACCTGATGCAGCTTGGTGTAAAAAATACTAGTACTTGAACTCTTCCACATTTTGTCCTGCTACACCCACACGTTCCCAGGTATTTTATTGGGATGTTACGTTGCAGACGAACACTAGGTTGTGCATATGTGTGAAGTGGAAGAAGAAACGGACTCATTGGTTTTGATTTATTCGATTTAACTTGTCTTAACCAATAAAAACCTTCATGATATTTGACTCATTCAAGGGCTGAGATGATGTTTTATAGCATAACCCTGCTTTCAATCTGTAGGCAACTTTCTCCCTGATCTGTCTGCTGTGTTCCTTATGCTTCAAGTTGGTGTTTGTTCTTGAATATTCTCTAAGAAACTTCTGTTGCGTTCACACAACATCTGGATTTATACTGAGATTGCATAACAAACACAGACTCTGTATACGCATTTAGGGGACCTTCAGGTGTCAGAATAAAGGGGTGTTCTGTCATTTTGGCATTCTTTGTCAGAATAGCATACCAGAAGTCTGCAGGCTATCCTTTATCAAAACAGCATACCGATGTTTGTTGTGACATTAAAGTCAGATATAACACACAAAAACCTGTAATCATAGGAATGCTGGAGGATAAACTGCTTTAAAACACCGACGGGAGGGACGATCTAAAAAACAGCTAGTGAAGCTGTTTGCCTCAAGCTAGCAAACCTCTAGCTGGATGTGTAAAACGGTAAACTTAAATTTTTTTTTTTTCATCAATACAACGTATTTTCAAAGGTTTACTTCAAATCGGGGGTTTTATTTTGCATCTATCAGTTATTGTTCAGTTGTTTAGATACAGGACTTGCTGTTGGCACCTTTTCTCTACGTACTCTTCATGGTAGCCCAAACTGGCTAGCCCTGGCAACCAACCATTCCGTAAAGTCAATAAATTAATAATTTGAAGTTTATCATTATTTTGTTTCAGTGAGATGCACTGAAATATTTTATAAAGGCGTATGCTGGTTCAGCGTAACACCCATCGCAAACGTCGGTATGTTGTTTTGATAAATCAGCCTAGTAGATTTCTGTTACGCTAGAACACCAGGCGGCTTTGATTATCCTTCATGACAACTGTGTCTTTAGCGTTATTTTACATAAACCCACTGAGTTCCAATGTTCTCCTTCCCTAGACGTGGTCCTTATTCTCCATCAGTTTGGTTTCATCGCTCATGGCAGGAGGTTCCACCATTGGGCTCTTCGTGTCTCTAGTGAAGACCATCATCAACGGCGGGCGAGTTCTCCTGACTCACTGCCGCTTTCCCGATGCCATCGACTACTCCAGCATTACCAATGAGTGTCCTTTTGACCCCACCCGTGTCTATGTGAGTGTGTTGCTCTGTCAGACTGAAGAAATTAAAGCAGCAGCTGGGCCTTTGGTCAGCTGACCTTTGTCTATTGTATAAAGAGCCCATATTAAAATCAGTTATGTGGTCATTTTGGTTTTATAAAACAGTGTTTTCTTTATGTAAAGTGTGGAAATGTGCAGTGTTTGAATGAAAGAGGTATTTCAGTCTTTTCTGACACTTAAATGTTTCAGATTATCAAACTCATTTTAAAACCAAACCAGAGTATATAGGATGCAGTTTTAAAATGATAACTTTATTCATTTTGGGGGGAAAATGATCCAATCTTACCTTGCTTTTTCTGAAAAAGTAATTACCTTCCCAACTTGGTAGATTCATACTTTGTCAATAGCTATCAGAAGTTAACATAACTGATGGTCTTTTTTTACATTGCTGTGGAGGAATTTATACCGACTATTCTTCTCAGTAATTTAACCACTTTCTGAGGCTTTCTGTGCATGAAAGGCCCGTTTATGGTAATGCCACACCATCCAGAAATGATAGATGGATCTAATTGTGGTTTATCGGAACCCCAAAGCCTTTCGAGACTGATAGATTAGATAGTTTCCACTCATCTTTAACTTCTTAAAGTAATCGGGGTGGAAGGTTTTGCTTCGTGAGATCTCTTAGCCTACCTCATGTCATCAGACGAGTTTGGTTTAAGTGTTTTTCTTGATTTGGTGGGTCTTCCTACATAGCTTGATTTTCATCTCCCTTTGGTGTTCTGTCTTCTATTTCTGTCATTGAGCTCGATTCAATGGTAGAATTTCAGTCTGGCCCGTCAGTGAACAGAACAAGCTGTTGTGAACAATGATGCCAATTATTTGCACTGGTTTTGATTTGCAGTCTACCTGTGTAGGGTTGTAGTTTGGCAATGGCAGCGGAGGAAGTGAATGAAGTCATTCAGTCCGTGTTGGAGCAATATTGAGCAATTAAACTTCAAGAGTCACCTTTAGCAAACCACTTTCTCCAAAGCTGAGGGTCCAAACCCTCTGTATGGGGCAAAGCGTAGAACAAGAGTAGAGTTTCTACCTGTCTAGTAATACACTTTAGAGAAGTCATGATTTAATGAGGAGGCAACTACTATTTTAGATTTATTTGGATAGTCCTGTTTTCTAAAAACCAGACCGCCAGCAGGAAAGTTAACACTGTTCTCTGAGTGCAAGTGCACTGGCCATTTAGTAGGAGGTTTGACATCTTTCCTCGCTGTGACGAAGTCAGTCACGCTTTGCAGCTGATGGACTGGTGGCAGAAACGCTGACCTGACCCGGTCAGTCCTCTCCAGGCTGCTTCTTGTTTCTGTGTGCTACTGATGGACTGTCAACCCTGTTTAGTCTCATAGCTGCTGACACACATCAACAGCACTGGTGTAGAGTTGTTGTTTTTTTTCAGCATAGGACCTTTGTCTTAAGCTGGATTTGTTCTTGGTGCCGGTGGTTAATGGCAGAGCAGCTGTTGATGCGCTCAGGATTTCGTGGCTCAGTCGGATTTCGGCTGCTAATAGCTCAAAGCCAGAAACCGGACAGATGTACAATCCCTAAAGCCATTGTGTTTTTCTACTTTGAAGTTGCTTTACTCGCATCAACACTGTATTTACTGTACAGCTGGCATTCATCGACCGAGTAGAGTAGCAATTTCAAGGTTGAGGTTGAGTTTAGTCTCTTCAGTAATAGTGTAGAAGTATATTCCTGGTAGTTTAAAGGTGGGGTGGTGTTCAGATGTCTTCCACAGACCTAGTTTGCTATTTTTTAATGCCAAAACCTTTGAGCTTTAACTTTAAGTTACTATATTATGCTGTGGAAAAAAGTATTTTCAACCTTACAGATTTAAGTACAAATGTAACCAGAGTACGTGAAAAAAAATGAAGTATTCAAAGTTTTATTTTCCTTTTAATAAGGGAAGAAGCTATCTAAACCAACTGGGTTGTGTCTTAAATCTTAAGCAGATTAATAGAAGCTGCTCTGCAGTTTGAGCTGAAAGACAATTAAATTCTGACTGACTTTGGACCATCTAATTCTCCAGAGCATTAAATGAAAGCTTCACAGGCTCGGCTAACAGCAGCTTGTTTTTCATAGATTGGAGAAAGAAACATCAACCTTTTGACTCTTGGTTGATGTTCTGTAATGGTTATTACATTTCCTTTGCATTCTTTTGTGTACCTGATGTTTGGTATTTAGTGGTGAGATACATGATTTTTAATAGTTGATTGTGATACTCGGTGTTGCTTGTCTTTTCTTTTTAAATGTTTAAAATTCTTGCTTTACGTCAGATTTATGTTTCAGATTTTTCACACACTTTTTTTCAGAACATACGAGCATTGATCAATTCACTGCATTTTTGGTTTGAACGGTATTTGGACTATATCACTAATATTCAAATTTAAGACAATTGAATATTGAAGGTCACTACCACATATACCTGGATCAGTCACTATTTGTATGGTTAAAGTCGGAATGCACCAATATGAAAATACTGTCCAATAATCAATACTTACCGATATCAAGATATATATTTCACTACCTCTAGACATTTTGAAGAAAACAGCCACACCGCTAACTTCACCACTGCTTCTTTGCTTCACTTAAATTCTCCACAATCCTTTGCTGCATCACTATCATTGTCACATGACCAAACCAATATTACATTACCAACGTCTTCCAGAAATAAATAGCAACAAGATGGAAATAAATGTTACTATTGCCTTGATTTTTGTCATTGGTCCAAAATCAATATGTTAAAAATGACTAATATCAACCGATGTAATGTTGTTGAAGATACATTGTGCATTCATAGTTAAAAGATTAAGTTCTGGCAGGAAAAATTAAGGTTTAGGGTTGACACTATAGCCACTAGTATGTCTAACATAATTTCTGCATATATGGTGCATATAGTCCATAACACATTAACACCTTTGGTCTTTTTTTTGTACTAAATTCTGAGGTCACTAAGCACCTTCCAGCCCAATATTCAAAATGGCCACACTGTCACTAAAACACAATAAAAGCTGAAATAGTCATCACCTATGACGGTTTATATCTCATTAAACCGTCTGCACAAACAGTGTGGTTCAAATTGGTGTTGGCAACATGTTTCTTTACTGTGAACAATACAATAGAGGGTTTGGCTCGTGTTGCTGCCTCTAGTTGGCACCAAAGCGAAGAGGAAATCCCTGTAACTATTAATTCTCTCATCATGGGTGTGGCATCATTCCCAATTCCAAGCCTGTTCCTGTGAGACTAATGGGACACGCCATTTGTTTGCTGACATGGCATTTTAATTAAAACTTAAGAGGATTAATGGCACACTAAGTCAACAAAGTATTAAAAACACTACGAGACATGTGCCGAGGCTTTTTGTTTGGCTAAACTATACAGACTCGTCATACATCCTGTGTTTACAGAAAATAAATGTACATTGTTAAGCAGGGTTGTACAAAAACCCCTGCCACAAATAAAGTATTATTTTTGCTTTTTTTTCTTAAAAGTCCAGTGAGCTTTAGAAAATATTTCCACCTCCAAAATCTGTATTTTATTAAACTAGCTTAATTTTATTTTATTATTATTATTATTTTCTTAAAAGCAAACAATACCTATGCTAATATAGGTTAGCTGCATCCGGTACATTCGGTTTGCTCTGACTTCCACGTCCAAACCAAACCAACCGACTCCTCCTTTCTATAGGTTCTCACAAACCTTGACCTCAAAAAACCAGGATGGCCTCGTTAGAGGTCTCATTAGATCTCATTAATGATCTCATTAAATGAGTGCCATGCACAATTAGTGGAAAAACACTTTATTGGTTTGCGTTTCTAACTCTAGTTTAACCTAGTGACGGAAATGTGCAAATCACAACTGGCAAGCTTTCCAACTTGCTAATGAAATTCAGATAAGGTGCGTTGTATTGGTAATCTTAAATCAAAATGAAGTGGGAAGCCTCCAGTAGTTGGGATTACAGTTTGGTAATATAGAGGCTTCTCATGTAGTAACAGCTCAGATCTATGATAGCCTTTACATCTTTGTATTTCAACATAAAACTAAGACTTTCCTGAAATGATGCCTTATTTGTGCTATGTTAATTGATTCTTTCTCTTATATCTCTGTATAAAATGTGACGTAAGCCGCCTTAAAGGTGACTAACCTTTCCCGTTGTCTGCTGAGTCTGCAGATTGTTGCCATCCATTACCAAGGGATCCTCTATATGTCTTCCAGAGGGCCTATTCTGTCTCAGAAAGTGTGTGTTGGGCTTTTTGTTTCTCATTCACACAGTTTGCCGTGGGGTAGATGTGATAGTCATGTAAGGTTTTTCTCCAACTCCTGTATATTTCATTATGGATTTTCATAAAACCCTCCAGACTCACAGATATAAACTTCTTATGTTTTTTATCGTTTACAAAGCAAGCCTAACGATAAAAGGCTGCTTTTTACGCTTTCAATTCCCTCCCTTTGCTTTTATGAAGATGCATTGTCTGGCGCATTTTTTATTCACAATGCATACTTGCCTTTCTAAGCTCTTTATTCCCCTCGGCATCCAGCTCTGAATAATATGATAACATTGTTTCACGCCATTATCCAAGCAGCATCCTCATTTATGTCGGACAGCTTTGCCCGTTCTTGCCTTAGATTTGGTCCAGATTGTGTTTTTCCAACTAATGTGTTTCCATTTTCTCCCCAGAGTACCACTATTATCCTCTGGGTTGGTCTGATTGTATCGTGCAGCATTCAGATGGTGTTTTCTGCTCGATGTCTTGCTGCCTGTGCTTCCTTCTTGGGACTGCCTGGTTGCCCCAAAAGCAGGAGACATAAAAAAACCTATACCAGACCCGTAAGTCTTTAGCCATACTCGTTTAAATATGTGAACATCAAAGGTAATGTCACCCTTCTGTTGGCAGTATTGAAAATTACTGTCCTACCATTTGTTTGTTTAGATCAATGTGGCAAAGTTGGCGAAGGAAACTTCTCAACCTCACCACACCGAGCCCCCAAGAAGGCAACATGACACTTCACGAGTCTACACCGAGCCTCCCAGAGTCCGTAATACGTCACCTAGACGTCACACAGAACAACCAAGATGCCATGAGGAACGTTCACAATTCTACACCAACCCTCTGAGAGACCACAGTAAACCAACCAGGCATCATAAAGACCCCCCAAGAAGCAACCACAAACCATCAAGGCATCCCACTGCGCCTCCAAGACTGGAGCGCCACTCTCCTCACAGGCCCCTTCCTTCCCACAATCAGAGTCTTCCCACCTCAGAGAGGCAGCCTCTTCGGGAATTTCACCGAGACTGGTCGGACGTAGAAGGCCAAGAAATGAGGAGCTGGAGTCAACAAAGAGGGCAGAGGGAGCACCACAACCTGAGGAGGGGTACGTCCGACAGGTCCAGTGTTTGGATATAGTTGTGTTTGTGAGGCCAAATTGTCTTTAAGTACACTTTACTTGTTGCTGTAGTAGCAATCAAGTGTCCAGCATCACACAGACAGAACTCCCTCTGTGTGTCTGGAAAAAATTGGCTTTCAAAAGCCATATCCTTATTGAATGGAGACATTTTTTATTTTCATAGGGAATTTTCAGGATGTTTGGGAAGGACAGGAAGTTTGTACAAGATGCAGCATCCGGAGTGTGTTATTGCTCATCTTTCTATTTGTAATGGTTGGATTATATTAGAGAAAACTGCACTTAATACTTTAAACTGAGAACGTGCCAGTATCCATGAAAGGGCTTGACGACATGTTTTATTTTCAGCTATGAACTGAAAGATTAAACGCCTTGCTGAAAAATAAGATTAGCCAAATGTGCCAGAGTACTTTCAGAGATGGCATAGCCTCTATGCTAACTTTAGCTGCTAGCAAGATGGTTCTTTCTCGAAAGAAGACCAGAACCAGCAATATTTTTGTTTTCATCATGGAAATCTTTTTAGATGTTTTTCATGGTTTTTATTTTTTTAATTTTTTTTTTTAAACAAATGCTGCTAACAAATGATGGCTGAGCTGGACTCAACTATGCTTAGCTTGACTTGATGCACCAAAAGCCAGTCAGGTAAGGCCTGCACATACGCCACAAAAACAGAGTATTTAGTTATTTTCCTTATGGTGGTCCTGTCTGATGAGGACATTTAATACTTCATAAGAACTCAAGTGGAAAACTTTTGGGGAATTTTCCAAAGGTCCCTCCCATTGCCACGTGTCAGTGTTGTGTTGTAACCCACTTCAGATTTCTGAGCAATCCCACGATAGTGCTTGGAGACGACACAAAAATCAAGTTTAGACCACATTGTATGTCAAGGACAAATTGCAAGAATACCCAAACCGTGTCTTCAAGAACAGAATGTCATTTTGTTATTGTAGCCTGGGGGAGATGGAACACATTTTCTGTCCAGACAGAACATGTACAGACCAAAACAAAAACTGTCCCAGCAAGACATTAAAGCACACTTATTGATAGTGTTATGTAACCCAAAGCATAAATGGCTAACTTAATCATGTTTTGCTAAGTTTCCACAGACTAGATTTCCAATAAGTAGAGCTATGTATTATTACAAATGTCAATCTCAACACAAATTTAAAGGGCAAAAGTCTTACTCTGTGTCCATGGTAAACAAACTAAGTGAATGGTTTGCTGCAGTTAAGTGAAAAAACGCTTTATGAGATAATAAACACTCTGTGCTAGGTTTAGTTGTTAGCATGGTTAGCAAGAAAGTTCTTTACAACGCTCCACAAAAACACAAACTTGTTTGTTCACCCAGAGCTTCAAGAACTGTCCAACAATTACTGTGTGGTGATGTGAGAAGTGAGAGTGGATACTCTGTTGACAAGTCGTACTGTGGGAGGGACATGAGAGGAATTACCAAGTTATGTACTTGATTTCTTGTCAATGTCTTTACCAGAAAGAATTTTGTTTTTGTTCTTGTCACCTTGAGTAAAATAACTTTGTTGTAACTCATGTGAAGTGTGTACATGTGTTACAACCAGCAAAGTTATAAGTTTTTTTCTTTTTTTTTTTTCTTGTTGTTGCCACAAAAGCATTATCTAGTGACATATTGTGTTTATTACTTTTTGATACTTGACATATGATAGCAGAGCTGGACTCAACTTGGTTTAGCTTGACTGGATACTTATGAACATTTGAGTGCTTTCTAGAATTTTACGACTGTTGTCATGAACATAAATGTTTAAATTAGTTGTGTTCTCCTGTTTGGCTAACTCACCTGTTGTTTTACTGCCTCATTGAGTGTAATGTGAACAGTTTTTATTTTCTCACCAATATCCTCATCCCCAAAATTATGAGTTATTCCCGCCAACCCTTCCAACATTTGAGTTTACAAACAAGTACTGAAGCGCTACATTCCTAATCTGTGAGTTCATTCAACCTTTAAACCCTGGGAAAGTTTGTTTTTCACTGACTACATGAGATTCAAGTAACTGAATGTTTTTACGTTGAAAATTTAATTCTGTTACAGGCAATACGGAAAGTGTTTGTGTATTTCTTATTTAAATAAATCTTTTTGTATTCAGGTACAGCTTGCATATGTTTACATGTGAATAGTGTTTTTTTTCAGTGTGCCAGTGACCTGACAGGTACGACTGGTTAGACTCCAAACGGGTAAAAAAAAAAGCGGGCAAGTTGCTACATTCAATCCTGTCTGGTGTGTCTTAATAAAGCCCTTTTAATTTTTGAAACGTGGGATGACGACGAAGTTCTTCGGTGCGGAAGTGAAGACGCGGTCGACACATGCTGCTTCGAAACACACGGGGTATATTTTTATATCTTTTTAATGTCAGGTTCAACAGAACAAACATTGCATCCTCGTGCGAGGTTTTCATGCAACAGAAAAGTAGTGCAGGAATAGGAGAAGGATAAAAGAGGAGGAGGGGCTTATTTTTGTTTTCTTCAAGACAAGATACCAGTTCGTTATAAGAGGCAGTGATAATAGAAACACAACAAAAAAGGAATAAACCGTAGTGGGTCAGGAAATTCTGACTGTTGTTTCTTATCCTACCAGCAGAAGGCAGTGATACTTAAGGATCCCCGAAGCAGAGATGATGCTGGATAGGCAGTTCCTGTTCAAAACATTTGGTACAAGCTGACTTTTTTTAGATCCACGTCAGAGTAGTTGGACGCGGTGGCGATCAATTGGGTATCGGATAAAACTAAAACATTAAAGATAAATTGATTTGACAGAGTGAAATACATTCTTTGCATTGAGAGGGCAACAGTAATCTGGATGCACTGTGAGACGTTTAGGAGTGGTTCTGGCACCGATGTCTTGTTAAAACTTTTAACAACCCACATTTTGAGGTGTTTTTTCTTGCTGTCAATTAGGTGCCCTAAACATGGACTTCAAAGTACCAATGAAAACTGAATCACCCTTGAAATCCCCAGGCGAGAACAAGCGTACGGCATCCTTTTTCCTCCTGAAACGAGCCTTTTCGTGCGACTGCTCTGCAAGCAGACCAATCTGGGCGCTCGGAAAAGCGTTCAGCATAAGAGTGATGAACAAGCCCTTAGTGAATTCTCTGTCTGTCAGAGGGAAAAAAACAGATTGGATGGAGGGAGCGGAGGGAAGTGGGGGCTGCTCCACAGCTCAGAGGAATACTCATTTTTGAGAGAGCTGCAGAGCTCCAAAAATGTATCGCCCTGCGTAAACTGTGGTTGTGAAAGTTGCCCGTGTCTTGCTTGTGGGATCATGCATTATAGTAACAGGTTACAACTATCTTAAGTTTACTGCTCAATATTAAAGAATTCTAACATACTTACAGTAACTTGCAAAATTGTTCGTACCTCATGAACTTTTATTTATTTTTTTTTAAGATTTTGACACATTACAACCACAAACTGCGATACACTTTATTGGGATTTTCCTACGGTGGAAGAAAACCGTAGGACGCCAACAATTTCCTTCCATCATCACCACCGTGTTGTCTGTTTTAGTCAAACTCCACGTCGTTTGCCTGTATAGGCAATGGGCAATCGAACTATGCTCTGTCTAAAAACCTAGATATCGATTTGGTTGAAGCGAACTCTGGTGCAGTTCGAATGGATTTGTGAACGACAAGCAAGCCAGAGACCGCTACAAAAGCAGGAAGCAGATTATAACACATGGCATTCTGGGTAAATGCAGCCCAAGCAAACGCAAGAGTCGAACGCTAGCAGGAGAAATGGCCTCTGGTCTTTTACCAACAACCAAAGTTAAATTTTACAACCACTTAAATCAGACGCTACCCCATTTTTGTTTACGCTCTCTAAAGTTGCACAGAGAATTTTAAGTGGGGGAATTTATTCAAAATACTAATATTGATACTTGTATCACATCGATACTAGGGTGGCAGCTGCTGTAGTTTAACATCCCCACTTGAAATTTTAAAATTTTGTATTGTAGTTTCTCAACTGTACCTTAAAACAGATTTTGTTTCAATTTGCTCCCAAATGACAATTTTTTTTGTGCCATTTCTTTAGTAAAAAAAAAAACTTACCCAAATCCTGCCCTAGCTTTTAAGAAAAATAATTCACAGGAAAAACTACAAAAATTTTCTTACAGTCATAAGCTTGACAATGCTAGAAAAATGCAGCATCGCTCACCTGTAGTTTTTGTGCGTTTCCGCCAGTGGTTCTTGGTGCAGCGCCACCACAGGCGAGGAGGTGAACAGGTTTTCCAAAGCGTTTGGTTCCTTTGACAGTGCAGTATCAAAGCAAATGGAACCAGCTGAAAATGGAACAAATGTTCTCCTCTCAACTCGAGTACCAGACTGTCATTTTTCTACCACCTAAACTGACGGTCAAAAGAAGAGCGTCGATCAAGAGAAGTAACTTTGGAGGTGTTGGTGAAATCTAGCCAGCAAGATTAGAGAAGCCCCAAAAAACACTTAAGTTTTTACCTTATACATAAGTATTAATCTTATTTTTTTCGATCTCCAAATTATGGATCGGTGCATCATGTAAAACACCAATAAATTCATGACAGTTTTTTTTTTTTGGTTGTAACATGAGAAAATGTGAAAAGCTTCAAAGGGATGCGAATATTTTCTTTCTTGCAAGATACTGTATTAATAAGAAAACAACACAACAAGGTAATACTGTAAAAGTTAGCTTCTAGCACACAGTCAGAATTCACACATGCACACACACACGCATTCAGATTGAAAGCACAGCTGTACTCTGTAAATACATGGCGGTAAAACAACGATATGTGCTACTGGTGCTGTTGATCGGATGCATCATGAGATCCTCTTATTTCACTGGGAATTAATATCCTTCATTTTGACCAAAATCCATAAAAAAAAAAGAATTGCACGCCGTTCACTCTCTCAGCCGTTGTAAACTGGAATACAGTCATCTCAAACAATATATCAAAGTAAAAGCACATTTAGAGTAAAAATGAATAAATAAAATAAAATCACATGAAAAAAGGAAAACGTTATGTACAAATGAAGGGGGGGAAGTAAAATAGTAATAAAAAAAAAAGACCAGTTGATATTCACAAAAAAAAAATCAAAAGGGATCTTAGGCCTTCTTTTTCACAGCGAAAGATCATACAGCGATAAAGTCCCAACAACTCCCACTGAGATCGGAACAGGAAGCTACATAATACTGCCTTTCGTAGTATGTGCCACACAGTGAGTGAAGACAAACTGAATCCATCTTATGATACACAGAGACATACAGTTATGTACATGACAATATACACGCGCGTCGGAGGTGAACTCCAGAGCCTCTCGTCTCCGTTCTCATCCTGATCCGGATGCAGACAGTCGGGAACTCCGGTGGGCCCCTGCTGGACCCCGACACCGTTATGTGTGTAAGCATGTCCCTTCATTTACCCCCCTCCGCCCAAACCCCTTAAAAAATACAAAAGTAAAATAAAATTCCTACTCTCTCCTCAGCCTCTCTGCTGGACAAAAACTAAACAGATATGAGAGATGTGAATCGTCATGCATTGATTTCAGGGACGCTCTGAATAGCAACAGAAACAGAGAAGAGGGCGGCGTGGAGGGTAAAAACAAGCTCGCAGCAGGATGTGGGGGAGGGGCTTTAGAACTGGGAGGCGGAGCTGGGGTCGCACTGGAGTAGCCGGACAATGGAGGGGTCGCTTTTGGCACCTTTGATAAACTCCTCCAAGGACAACTTGCCTGCAACAGAAGAGAAACAAAAAGACATTATTTTCCAGGATCTTGACACTGTTATTATGTATAATTTACAATAAAAGGGACCTAAAAAGAAAAAAACAATTTGAATGAGTCACTATTGTGTTGGAACTGCTGTACTTGTGCTTATTTTACATCTGAGATCCTGACTGGAAATCATTAGTCAAGTAAAAACCAGCCCCTTATGAAGCATACGGTCTGCATGCTTCACTTCGTTAAGAGGGTCTGGGTTCTTAGCTACTGAGAAGCGATTGCTTCCAGGAGGCGCGCTCTCCGCTGAGGTTTGAATGTTACCCAGTCGCTAACGTTTGTCCATGACATATGTAAGGCGTCAGTTTAACGCTGAGAAGCTAACAGGAAGCGTGGCCAAAACGGACCGAACGGCTTCCGCTGCCTTTGCCAAAACCTGCAGACGGACTACAATTTGTTCACAACGTCTCCTTGTGTTTGCTGACTGGCTGACCTCTAATGGAGGAATCCAAGTGAATGGGAGAAGGCCTAGACTGAGTGCTAATCATGAGCCAAATAAAGCAAGATATTTTTTTTAGTTATAATATATTGAAACTACCATGGAAATTAGACACTGCTCATTGCTTCAGAAGTGAGGAAACTTACAAAATCAGCAGAGGATTGACATTTTATCCGCCTACAGTACAGCAACTATTTTGTAAAAAAGCAGAAGAAACTTCTCTAATTTTGCAGCAAGCATTCACTCCCAGAAAGACTTGAGAGAGCTGCAGAGTGCCAGGGTCATGTAAGGTCAAATCATTAACTTATAAAGAAAATCCTAGCTAAGTTCAATATTCACATAACGTTTAATTAGAGAAACTCACTGACTCAGTCGTTTAAATGTGTTTAGTTAGATTTCAGTGGAATTTGATTTTACTAAATTATTCAAACAGAAAGCTTCATTGTCCTTATCTATGAAACAGAGTTTGAATTGAATCAAAGACAGAAAATAATTACTAAACAAAGAAATTGTTTAGCAATTAAAAATAATAATAATAATAAAATCCTCTCACCTTTGAACCCAGAGTTTTAATTGCTTAAATATTTTATTTGCGTTTGTGAACGCAGCTCTTTCATACGACTTTATATTAGAGCCATTACAGATGGAAAAACAATTTTTCTAGAAAAAAAAAAAAAAAGTTTACATTTCTGAGTTTGGAAAGTCAAAAATTTGCTAGAAAGAAAATCTGAAACTTTGAGATTAATCTCAGAAATATTTGACAAGAAAATGTGAAAATTTCTAAATGTTAATTTCTGGTTTGGAAATGTCCAAGTTTTTTCCAGCAAAATTGTGACTTTTCAAACTCAGACATTTCTAAGTTTTTTATAAAATATGTCAGATTTTGTGGGCGGTAATTTACTCCTTTTCTCTATCTACAATAACCCTAGTACCCCGTTATCCACTGTTGAAAACAGAAGAATGTAAAAGAAACATTTGGCCATAATAAATTCTTCTGTTTTTGTTTGACATGGGTTTTCCCTTCTTTGAAATAAACTAGTCTTTTTTGATAAAAAGCTGAATAACAAAAATAATGTTTTTCACCTTTTCCTCCTAATTTGTTGTGCTTTTATCTAGTCTAATAATTAGCTTATTATTGGACCAACATCTAAACTCTAGCCGCTGTACAAGCTCTTTTTCTAAATAAAATGAGCTAATTTCACAAACCAAATGAAAAAAAAAAAAGAAAAACTCCCTCACTCCTCATCATTCATCCCCCCCCCCCCCCCCCCCCCCCACCGTCATTATTGAGGTCCATTTGTCTGAAGATCTTATCCGTCCTCTTCTCTGGCGTGGACTCATCCTCTGGCATCTTCATCACGGATGACACCATCTTGTAGATGGCCTGAAAGTGGAGAAGGAGAGGCGAAAACAGAGTGAATTTGAGCCAGCAGGGAGCCATTACGGAGACTTAGCCGAGGCACAGCAGAGATGAAAAACAGGGTCACTGCGGATCTCTGGGTGCTAATAAACCTCCTCTGACTGCTACACACTTGCAACAACATTTGTAACTCCCGGGGCCTCGGCAACAATCAGGAGAAAGCTTGTGCCATCATACCGGGAGGATTACATGAATCACATGTGCAAGCATGAGGCGTACGTGAAAAGACTGAGGGAGGCGGGGGGGTTGACCAGCAGAGCTTTAGAGTATTGATCTGATACATCTTTATCTGTTGACCGATACCAGCGCCTTCCCGTCCCTCGTTGGCATTAAATTAACCTCTGTACGGAAGCATGAAAGCCCAGAGTATAAGCCCGGTTCGCAGAAGGATTTAGAATCAGTTTACGTCGCCATTAATTCTCCACCTCCGGGAGGGTGGGGGCGTGAAACCGACCGTAGATCACGTCTCGCAGAGATATCAGAGAGGAAGCAACCCCATCTTTAAGTACGAGATTTCCAAAGAGAAAAATGAAAAAGTGAAAGATGTTGCCGCGCCTAGAATGTTGTTTCCCAGCATTCGCCGCACTTTGATAAATACACCGTGCGATGTTACAACCACAGCCTTCAATGCGCTCGGTGCTTTTCTCTCCCGCTTTTGCTTGAAAGAGAGTGAGCGATGATTTGTCTGGGAGAAGATGTCCGTCACATCTACAGTATAATACAATTCAGCTACGTAAATTATAGAGAATATATTTGTGAAACAACATCGAGAAGAAATTCTGCAGTGTTTTATCATAACTTAGGAACGAAGCACAAAGAAAGGTAAGTTATGTGTAAATGTTAGCAAAGCTAGCTAGCTAATATTAGTAATCTGACAAAATTCTTTACTTGAGCATATTCTTAATGTTTTATGGAACTAGTTTTCGTTTCTTGTCAGCTGTTTGCCACCTAGCTTGTGTAACTCTTCTTGTTTAGTTGTCGGTCACCTAGTACAGTACAGAATAAAAAACTCTTCACAATGTGGCTTTGACTGCAGGCAAGTGGTCCGACAGGCTGAAAAATAAAAGACACGGTTAGCGTCGTGACCGAGTGGTCAGCCACGAACACCAACCGGCGCAGCTCCCACTCATAGGGTCACATTTTTCCAGCCCAACCAGGAGAAAAACTTTACAAGTTATATTTGTAGATGTTAAATATTCTTACAGTACTTCGTTAATTGTTGAACTAGAAAAATATGACCGTAAGTAAAAAAAAGAATTGAAGAGCTGCCTCTCTCGCACCTACCTCCAGAATTCTGGTGGGGGAAGCCGCGAGACTGCCTGACGGACCCGTTGCATGCAGTCACCAATCACACCACTAGGTGGCTCCAAACAAACGCACTGATCAAAAATCTCACAAACACATACAACCCTACAATCATTTTGATCAAAACTCACACAGACACACACAAGCTTTTCTCTCTGTTACGCTTGGTGCGCAAGCTAACGTCACCTAATAGCATATCGAGGGTCGTGAGCAAATGCAGTATTAACTTTGAGAGAATGAAGAGACAACGAATGTGGTGGCAACTTGGTCTTAAGTTTATTTTTTTCTCATGATAAACAACGATGAGACTGGCCACATGAAGCATAACTTTGAGTTACAAAGACATTAGCTAATGTTAGCTGTGCCCAGCTCCCAAAGTTAAAGCTACACACCGAGGTGGCTACGGCTATTTTGGCTCTGAGTGTTTAATATCTAGGTGTTTATATGGGAATGTGGATCTTTCGGATGAATTTGAGAAGAATTTTGATCATGTTTCATATTTTATTGAGTTGTGTAATGTGAGTCTTGGTTTCGACTTGGTCTCAGCCCCTAACGGTCTTGCTTTTAGGTTGCTGTCTCGATACACTCTGGTCTTGACTTTCACTTGTTCTCGGGTTTCGTAGTCTTGACTACAATACTAATTAATCATGCCAGGTCTGCTCCCAAAATGTGATTGATAATTATCCTAATAAATTCCCTGCTGTCTCACAATTTGGGATTATACCAGGGGTTTATTCTTGCCACGACTCATGACAGACTAGTCAGAAATGACTTTCCCTCAATCTGGTTCTGATTGATGTTGTCAAGTAACAAACAGCAAACAAGAATCAAAGTGTCCAGTCATGTTCTTAACAATACTGCTTGTCTTGTGTGTAGAAAAGAGTCTTGAAAGAAAAATAAAGTTCCTTTAATATTGTTTAGTTTATATTTCCGTGGATACTTTAGTTGACCACACTGTGACAGGTCAGCATGTGTAAAGTTAGTCTGCTAATGAGCAGCCAAACAGGTTTATGGAAGCATTTTCTTCTTCTGCTGGCACACAATTACACAATGGCCCCTCTTCTCTCCTCTCTATATAATATAACCTCTATGAGCTCAGGGATAATCCCGCTATTCTGCACACTCGGGGATAAACGCTGGTTAAATTTAACTTGCTAATCCAAGAGAACCATAAAACAGCCACACAGACTTACACACAACACACAGCAGTGATCCTCAACGCATTTTCTCAATGCATATCACTGGGGAACCATGGTGCTTCATGGTCTACCTGAATGTTTCTGTAACAAGCACTCTGTTTCTTCTTTGTAATGAATAACTAAGAATTAAAGCTGCAGCTACCAGTTAGAAAAAGGGATTTAATGCAAAGATTTGCAAAACTAAGACTACCACCCCAACTGTGAAGAATGGGGCTGGCAGCATCGTTAGTGTTTAGCTGCAGGAGAGACTGGTGCAAGTATCATGGAAATATTGAAGCAAGATCTCAAGACTTCAGCCTGTTAGTAAAATCGTCTGACTTCGGATTTCAGACTGGCAGTAAAAACTTGGGTACAAAATGAGCAATACCTGAAAGCATAGTGTGAAATTATTGAGAGACTGGATTAATAGCAATCAAGCCAATGTTTTGGAGAGGGCATCACCAAGCCCAGATGTCAAATCTCATGTGCTAGCAGAACTGAAAAGGTGTTTGTGAGAGCAATGTTACCTGGAAACATGACTCGATTTCACCAACTACGTCTGGAGGAGTATGCTATAATTCCAGCAAACTATTATGAGAAGCTAGTGGAAGGAGACCCAAAAGGTTTAAGCCTTTAACTATCAGGAGGACACCGGTGTCCCCGTGGACCCAATGACCTGCATTTAAGTGTTTAAAGGGTTTTGATCCAAGTTACAGAGTTTAAAAAGCAAATGCCGCAATTTATCATGTAAAAATTCTATCCTTTCATTTTGTGCTCTTCAACTCCTACACCTTGGGCCTCTTTCAAATTACATCTGCTATGACCAAACTTTTTTTTCTGAGATCAATCTGAACTGGTAGTGGTCATTAAGTCTCGAGCAAGATGCATGTTGGTCGTCATAGAAACAGGTTATTTACGGGATAACTGGGCTGTAAAGTTGAGTCATTTTGTTTACATGTCAGACTTGAAATGAGTGTTGGTGATTATTTCTTGTTGTGTGAAGAGTTTCTCCTGTCTGTTTGACTTATGATTCCAGAGATACTGGAATTGGTGTCTATTCTACTACAGAATTCTTAACTTTATCAATAATTAAATTTATAATAAATAAAGCCAGTCTTTGATGAAAATTTGATTCCCAAGAATCACCACCACCAGACAGCCCAATTCTTTTGAGAGAAATGTCTTTCAATCCATGCCTGATCACATGTCCATATAGCCAAACTGAAAAATGCTTTATGTATCCTATAGAAATGTATTTTATTTTATTTAAAGAATAACTTCAGCGAATAATTGTGGAGCAAGTAACAGTGGACCAATCAGATTCAGAAATGGAGTTTACAGTATGAAAAACAATCATGTTTTTATTTGAAAAATGTTATTTTTTGAATGTGAGGTAAAAACATTCATTCATTCACATTCATCCATTTTTACCCTGGTCCCCCTGTGGGGTGCCCCCACAGGGGGGTAACGTTTCGGACGAAACATTACCCCGAATTGTTCTCCAGTTAACATTTCGGGAGCGAGCGGGTTTACGCCCTGGACAGGTCGCCAGCGTGTCACAGGGGGAACATAGAGACAGACAGGACAAACAACCATGCACACACATTCACACCTAGGGAGAATTTAGAGGGATCCCAGTTAACCTGACAGTCATGTTTTTGGACTGTGGGAGGAAGCCGGAGTACCCGGAGAAAACCCACGCATGCACAGGGAGAACATGCAAACTCCATGCAGAAAGGTCTGGGCTGGGAATTGAACCCACAACCTTCTTGCTGCAAGACGACAGCTCTACCAACTGCGCCACTGTGCAGCCCGCTATAAATGCCTAAAACATACTTTTAAGTCTTATAATAATTACGTCATGAGGGAATACGTGACGCAGCTCGGACCCTGTGACGTGTTTGACCCATTCCATTCTGTTCTATGTGACAACACCGCCCTCTGCTGGTCTTGTTTTGTTCCTCCTACTCATGGACTTTCACTGGCGACATTCTGTAAAGTCCTCTCCGCTGTTCTGATTCGCTTCATGACTTTCTATTTCAACATGAAAACTAAGAGTCAAGTAAGACGAGAGAAACTAAGATATTTAATTTAAATGTCTGCAACTTTTACAGAAGTTGTGGTTCTTCTGTGGTTCTAATTCTGTCAGATTGGAACAATAAACTCCATCCATCCGTCCATCCCAGGGGTCGGCAACCCGCGGCTCTAGAGCCGCATGCGGCTCTTTAGCGCTGCCCTGGTGGCTCTCTGGAGCTTTTTCACAAATGTTTGAAATTGGAAAAAGATGGGGGTGGGAAATATAATTTTTATTTTAATATAGTTTCTGTAGGAGGACAAACATGACACAATCATTCTTAACGTTTTCCAGTGCTATAATGTGTAGAATAAATATTAAATTACAATATTTCTGTCATCGAATATTTGCGTCATAGCCTGCGACACGTTTCTTTCAGCTGGGCGGGGTGCGAGACACAGGGGCGGGGCTACAGGGAGGCAAAACTTGTATGCGGGATAGTTTTAGAATGATGAAAGCCTCCTTTCTTTAGCGAACAATAATAAAAAAAAGTCGGAAGTATGTTTGAAAAAAACTCTTGGTTATTATTCTGACAGATAGAAAAAAATTGGTAATCTGACCTAAAACAGGAAAAAAAAGTTTTTAAATCCACATAGAGAAAATCTTGTCTTTTTGTAAAATATTTGCTTTCAACTGCATATTTTGTTTTCTCAAAATATGCATTTTGAAAAAACAATACAATATCTATAAAAATAATCTGTGTTTGTGGTCAGGATCGCAGATATTGCAGTCTTTGCTTGGAAGCTCATATTATTTACCAAAAGTGGACACTAAATGTAGAAAAGTAAAAAAAAAAAAAGTAATTATTTAAGTCTGATAATGACTCAGGAAAAGATGTCCCTTGAAACTTTCTGGTGGCACAACTGGGATAGTCCACAGCTGAGTGCATGAACCATGAATCTCTCCTACTGCAAAACTTTACTCACCTGAACAATCTCCAGCATCTCCTCACGGCTGATGTATCCGTTTCCATCCAGGTCGTACATACTGAAAGCCCATTTCAGCTTTTGCTCCAGCTTCCCCCGTGACGTGACGCTCAAGGCGATAATGAACTCCCGGAAGTCTATCGTCCCATCGCCGTTGGTGTCGAAAGTCCGGAAGACGTGCTCGGCAAACTTGGAGGCATCTCCGTAGGGAAAGAAATTGGCATAGATCTTTTTGAACTCCTCCACATTCAATGTTCCACTGGGGCAATCCTTCAAGAAACCCTGGAATAAAGAGAGTAACACTTTATTTTAACTTTAAGTTCAGTACTTTTAACAGATATTCCACTGGATGGATAGACTAACGGCTAATATTCTAAGTTTAAGCAAGAACTCAAAAATGCTCTTTGGTGTAAGTAGTCTTTTAGCAGTAAAAGTTTTATGAAATGTGAACGGACTGCAGTAGATCTGTTGGAAGGGAGCTTGGTCTTATATAGCTGAGGGCAAAAGCTATATCTTTGTTCAAAGATATAGACACATTTAATAAAGCCTTATTGTGCTGTGGAAGCAAAGGGAAGTAAAAGTCCCATCACTCATAGGCTTTGTTCGAGATGTTCTTTTAACAGACCTTGAAGGTAGAACCAAAGAGGTGACAAACCCGTCTCAATTTTGAAGCCAGGAATTAGGTTCTGGACATCATAAGAGAAATTATTTTGCGTGAAGGCTCAGAGTTCCTGTGGCAGTGGAGTTAATCCATCTTTTTTATTACCCCGTGTCTGGGAAATTTTCGGGGTCGTAAAAGAACACCGGTGTTTGCCCGGGCTTTCCGGCCACAGGCTCTGATTTACAGCCCCGTGAGCTTCCCCTCCAAAAGAATACGACCTGGACACTTTTTCAGAAAAGTCAGAGTTCCTCAACATCCTGTTGAATAAGCAGTCATGTGAAAAAAGCTGGTCTTTGTAACATCTTTTGACACAGTGGTATTTAGTAGCAAGGGTTTTATTTATTTATTTATTAAGGTAGTGCTCAGGCAGGAAAGTGGGTTGTGACAGAGAGGGAAGACGTGGTAAAGGTCAACAAGCCGGGACTCAAACCCAAAGAGCTGCAGAAAGATGATTGCAGCAGCTCATGAGTCTTGTAAGGGATTTCAAGAGGTCTACAAGAATTTCAAAACACCTGCCAACATTCCTTGGTCTGACAAGTTCACTCTGAAAGCAGACCACTAAATGTTTGAAGAAACCTCCAAGAAATAAGCCACATGGCTGCTTTTACCTCTGGACCTTCTAGAGCTCACATGGTAGAAATACTCTGATTAGCTGTTACCTGAAAACTATTAAAACCAGCACTATGATACCATAGGAGCAAGTTAGTTTTACTCAAGGTCACCATTACCAACCTATCGACACTAATGACTACTCCACTATGCCCTCATTCCACAATACAAAACAGACAAACCAATCTAATGATCCTGCAGGTGTCTATAGCCCCTTCTCTACAGGTGTCTCTTTAACCAGTTCTTCACCAGTCAGCCTCTGCCAGATTCATCTCCATTTGCGGATCCTGCACGGTTCCTTTCCGAATTGTTGGGCTTGTACAAGCCGGGTATTGCATCTGATCGATTTGATTGGGAACAGACTGCATTCATTAACTGGCGAAGGGTCAATTGATGAATGAAGGCGATAATTGCAAACTCCTCGAACAACAACAGCTCAAGTACCATATTCAATCTGCAATGAGACAGTAGCAGTTAGTGATAAGGGGAGCTAAAACCCGGTAATTCCACAGACAAACCTTAAGGCCCAAACCCTTTTCATTAATTGCGATGGAAGAGTCGAAACAGCATCAACTGGAATGGGCAAGATGCAGCAAACAAATACTGGCCGCCATCATCGGACCACAAATCCTGTGCGCTCACGTTCCCACCCATGTACCTGCCCATGTTCATGCCCAAATGGTAAGATATATCTGAATGGTTTTAGCCAACGTGGCTTAAACCGACCTGGCTAGACTGAGTCTTGACACTGGAGAAGGGGCTTATAAGGATGTTAAACTGATTTTTACTTTGCTTTAACCTGACGATGATGTCCATTTAATTATATACAAATGTTGATATATTTTGTATATTATATCATAAGACTCTGAAATAATGTTTGAAAGGAAACCTAATGTGTGTCATGAGGTGGCGGTGATAGTGGTGAGAACGAACGCTGATGACCCAGGTAGAGATAAAAAAAAATGATGGCTTTAATGAAAAATCCACAAAAACAAAAATCCAAACATACAGGCAGCACAGGGAAGAACGGAAGGCAAAAAGGTCCACGACTGAACAGACTGGCACAGAGAACTATAATGGACAACATTAGACGAGGACCCGACAAGAGACAAAGACAACAGGTGGACCTAAATACGCAGGGAGGGTAATCAGGAAATGAGACACACCTGGGAAGCAATCAACAGGGAAGACAGGACAGGGACAGGGCTAGACACCGAAAACCTCAAAAATAACTACACAGAAAACACAGAACACAACAATGTGTGGATAAAAGGAGATAACTGATGCAATCAACCTGGCTAGACTTGGACTTGATTATTCCAAGGGTAAATCTAGAGGATGCTGCTCTGCCACTGACAGAGACAAATAAGTCAAGGCTGCCGCCAGATCGCTGATGAAACATGGCTCTTCAGAAAAAGCAAGGCCATCCAGACACACTCCCTGTAGAATACTCACTGCCTCTTCAACCATATATAATGGGTTACCAGGTCCGTTCAGTTTCTGTACTTTTTATATATATATATATATATATATATATATATATATATATATATATAAATAAAAAAAAACAATCATCTTTAGAGCTTTAAAGCTGGACTAACTTCAGCAGTCTCTTATCCAGGCACATGGTAAATGTAGGTCAGAGCACTGCTTGAAGCTGCACTCACAATCACTATTTTAAGCTAAATCTATAAGCAGCATTTTGGGCCTGCGTTCATAAACACTGGCAGGTCTTCTTGTATCACCGTAACGCTGATAATAGCTCATGTTTTAAACTGTGTGTGGAACTCCTGTTTGCTAAAGAAACCAGAATCTAAAGAGCCATCATCAAAAACACAGCTTTGCTTGAATAGTGCTATAAAAGAAGGTAAAGGTGATAGTAGGACATTTGCCTGTAAGAACAAAAAGGTAAATCCATTTAGATAAACTGTTTCCCTCTGCAGAAATTCAAAATACAACAAAGCTAGACTCAAACATTTAGTGAAAAAGAGTTTCAAGTATCCAAGATGACGATTATACTTCAAGCATCACTTTAATCCCTAATTTCATTGCGAGGATCTTTGCAATTACTATTATTTTAAGATATTGCGGCACTAGTGGCCTTTCTTGACAATAATCAAACAGGAAATGCTCAGAGGCAGAAGGGGAGGAGACAAGCAGCAAAGGTCCCAAGGTTGGGAATTGAACCCCAGACAACTACTCTGACTTAAAGCTTACATACAAAGTGCACTCGCTCTATAATGACACCCATGATACCATCATTAGTACAGGGCGTACAATACATCTCCACCATGATCTTAAACTCTCTTTCATGTACAAAATGGGAGGCTTGTACATGTCTACCTCAGTTTAGATGGTAGACATGGTGGTGGCATCTTCATCATCATATGGTGGGTGATGCTTTTCTTTAGCAGGGACATGAAAACTGGCCATGATCGATAAAAAAAAAAGAGGAAATAATCTAAATACAGAGCAGGCCAAGAAGAAAACGAAACCAAAGCTGCAGCAGCTACCTGCTGGTGACCCAGTGTCATGGCCATGCGTACCTTGTACCACTCCTGCAGCTCGTGGTCGGAGAACTCCGTGTTCTCCCGGAGGTCCTGCAGCATCTCGGGCCGCAGCTTGCTGTTCTGTTTCCCCATGGCAACGGGACAGTTTTTGTTGTTCTTTCACTTGACGACAACGCTGTCTTGTCGCAGAAGCCAGGCCGTGTTCCACACCTGCTGGGCAGAAGTAGGGAAACAGGAGGTCAGGAGTCGCAAACACGAGGAACAGACGAAAAGATTTGTGTAATAAATTAGTAAACAAGCACAGTGGGAGATGGTTTTAACCCTCTCACGAACTTAACACTGTGGCAGGGGCTAATGGGTATGTGGGGTCACTGCTACCCCTAGTGGGATCAAATGAACCCCATGACTTGAGATCACAGGAGGGTTAAAAATAGACTCTTGCAGATTAAGGACAGCAGAAAATATGTATTTATGCTCCATTAAAGCACAGTCACGAATCAAACAATGCCATTCTTTCTACTGTAATGAAATCAAAGCGAGCCTTGTTACAGGAAAATGTCCCAATCCCCCATGACACACAATATTATGCAAGTCAGCAAGTGTTGAAGCTCTGCCTGGCCGGCACAAAACATTAAATAATCCCGCAGCCACTGACGTCAGGCACAAGCCCGCTGATCACATTTGGACAGGGTTTATCCGGCCAGCTGAGTTTGGGAAATCAGCTGTCTGCCGCGAGCGCTGCTGTGTTCACGTCTCTTAATCCTTATCTCAGCACAACCTGTCGGACAAAATGCGATTTCAGTGATTTAATTATGCAACGACACCGCTAAAGATAATGTCTTTTTTGTTTTTTGTTGTTGTTTTTTTTCTCTCATGATGACGGAGCGAAAATATCAGATGTATTTCATTGCAAATGCAGTTCTGGGTTTATTTTAATCAGAGTGCAATGAGGGATGTCTTACAAACCCAAATCAACTTGATTTGGTTGAATCTGTGAAAAAGAGTCAGAACAGAAAGTGTTTTTTTTTAAAATGTAAACCTTTTACACTTTTCGTTGTGAGAATGTTTAGAAATGTCATCTACTTGAGAAAATGGTGCAAATACTATAAATTCTCTGTGAGTTTACTGCACATTTGCTAACAGAGGACAGGACTCAAATGAGGAGCGAAAACCAGAGTGGAGATGGATGGATGGACGGACGGAGAGATAGGGGATATATTGTAGTAAAAAAGAGTCTGCTCTGATTTTCCTCCACACATTTGAACCAAGGGAAATGATTGGATTCCAGACTCCTCCAGACTGTTCAGGGTCCCTGGATGTTGGAAGAAGAGTCAAAGAGCATGCGTAACACATAGGGGCTCCAGCGTGGGCGGTAACAGTGTTTACTGATGCCTGGCGAGCGCTTCATGCGCGCAAAGAAACAAAACCCACACGTCCCTCGCCTCTTCGCTCGACTAATAAAATTAGACTCATATTAAATGGCTCATCCCGGAGGCATTACAGTTAAAGGCAGGTGCACTGCCAGGACTGCCAGGAGCCCGTTTCTCGGCTGTTGCAGGCAGAACTGTCACCAACTGCTGGAACCAACCCTATAACTGCATTAGTTCTTAACGGCTTGGAAACAATAAGTAGGTGTTAGAAACAATACTCAAGAGATTTTGGTCTAATCTAATCACTGGTGGAACCTACAGATGAATACAACATAATGTCAATTTACAGCCTGCTGCTCTCCAACTGGTAGAATGGGCGAGGGCAATTAAGTCAAACACATGAGTAACTGCCTTTCCTTTGTCGATATAATTGGATAATTTAACATTTTCAGAAATAAATTTGCTTAACGGAAACATGGCAACTTAAAATTAACTCCCGTTTTTTGACAGAACGTTTTGGGGCTAGATTGGGGTGTTTTTTTTTTTTTTTTTTTTTTTGCTGTATCAAAATTGGTTTATTTCACAAAACCACAATGGAAAAACTTTTTTCACATCACATGAGTCACATGACCAACAATCAAAAGTTGCCACTGGTGCAAACCACGAAGAAGAAGACAACAGGAAGTAGCAGCATCATGCTTCTTAATGGCTTATTGCGTGAACAAACTTATTCACGAGTGATTTTAATTGCGTTTCATAGTTAACGGAAGCGCCACAATTGCAAGATTGTGTTTTTTCAGCATTAGCATGGAATTGACAAAGTTTTGTGCACATTTGTAATAAAAACGTGGCTAGTGACAAGATTAAATACAAACCAGGTGACTTGATTCACAAAGTAACTTTATTAACCTATTCAACGTTTTCGTTGCTAGCAGACAAGAGTGTTATCCTGTCACAAAAATGTTTAAAAGGTTAAAAAAGATGTGAAACAATTTTCCTCTAATGGTAAGTTGTTTCTCCACCGTAGGCACATTTAGCAGCACATACATAAGCACAATTGACATTGCTCAAACACTCCTTCTGGCTCTGATTGGCTGTTTCTGAACAAGATGTGTATTTCTGTAGATGGCAGCAGGACCACAGGAAGGAAGCAGAAGAAGTTGATTTTTTTTCACAGATTATGTCTCTCATATTGTGAAGCCCTAGGCGTAAATTCAACCTATAGGTCTTTATCACTTATCACCACGCCTTCGCCCCACTCAACCAGGACGCACCACTGCTCCACCTCGATCCAATCACCTGGCAAGAGCTCCTTTAAAAGGCGAAGCAACCACAGATCCACCCACTTCAGTTGCGGTTCAGGTACCATGAACTTCCCCTTCTCAAACCGCTAGCTCATTCAACACACTTCTTCAACCTTTACGCCTAAAATCTCCTTTTGTTTGCCTCCCTTATCCATGTCATCCTTTTCCCACGTTAAATAGACTCGCTCTCCAAAAGCCCTGTAACAGATTTAACGGAGCTCAAAAGACAGATTTTCCAGAAAGAAACAGAGTGTAAAGTGACGGGCAGACTGCCAGAAGTCCACAAGCTAAAACTACACAACAAAATCCTGTTCAAACACAGCAACCTTTTCAATGGACTCACCACTACCTCCCTGTTTTTATATTATTATTATTATTATTATTTTTTTTTTAAATCTTTCTTAAACTAGCTCTGACCTATGGAAGCTCCGAGTCTGGCAATCACAGCACGCCCTCAGCAGCATCCTGCGGCATAAAACATTAATCCATCTTTCCCCGTCTGAGTGCCCTGTTGTTGGTGTTCCGTCCTGCTGTAAGTCGACTCAAACGCAGACTCGGCGAACATCTGTCATGGCTTTCCACAGCTGCTGCTAAGCAGGTCGGCGACCTCTCAGCTGACTATTCTTGCTCAGAGGTGAAAAAAGGAGAAAGAGACAGAAAAGAGGGGAGAAACCGGACGTACGGATGGACGACGCGAGAACAAAAGATTGTGAAATGGGTGAGGACGGTAAAGGTGGGAGTAAATAATTTCCACCAGAGAGAAATGGTGCAAAGTTGCAGTGTACTATGGACATTTTTAAACATCATGACACAGCTTTTCAAATATGGTAGCAAGTTTTCATTTCAGTTCTAAAACAGTAGGTAATGTAATCAGCTGGAATTGCAGCATTTGTTCCCTTTGATTTTTTCAACATTTTTTATGTCACAACAACAAACTTGTAAGTATTTAAAATAACTTGTTGAAATGTTAGTCCCCATGCTCATCTTTCTGATTGGCTGCCTTTCGAATTTATGAAGCTTCTTAAGCTAGCTAGCAAGTATAGCAAGTGCAAAATGAACAAGTTTCTTGCAAGAAAAAAAAAAGTCATATGAACCATTGAGATGATAAGGTAATATATTATAGACATCAGATTAATAAAATCATAATATTAATCTTATGCCTATTTTTTAAAATACATTTTATATTTCCAGTGGTATGTATTTGCTAATATTTAACAAGCTTATTCAACAAATAAGCCATTTCCCCTAAGGGATCAATAAAGTAAATTCTATTCTACTCCATATATTATGTGATAGTCCAATTTTCTACCACAGAACTCATGGCCAATTAAAGTCAGAAGATATGTGGCAGTATTTATGCTAAATCAATGTAATAATTATTAAAAAAGTGAATAAAAGTAAGCAGAAAAAAAAAAAAAAAAAAACACTCTAAAAGTCTTGCAACCCAAAAGTTGTGGGTTTGAGTCCAGCTTTCTTCTGTCACATGTCGATGTGCTCATGGACAAGGCACTTGACCTCATACGTTAATTCCCAATCTGGGAATCGGCATATAAATATGTTTGTGCTTGTGAGTGCAGCTGGATGAATGTGGCAGTCGTGTAAAGTGCTTTGAGTGGCCAGTACGACCAGAAAAGAGCTACATAAACTCAGTCCATTTACCATTTCAGTCGTGGGCCACAAGTCTGGCTTTTATGCTAGAGTGGCAAGGAAAAAGCCATAAAAAGTTCTGTTTACATCTCTTCACAAGCCGTGCATGGGCCACTGCAAACGTGTGGAAGGCGCTACTCTGAGTACATGAGGCATGTGCAACATTAACGATGGAAAAGGTCTTAAGATGATTTGTAATGATCTCATTTTGTTGCGTCACAGAAACCTCAGATTTTAAGGGTTGTAGTTTTAGGAATGCAGAGAAAGTGAACGCAGTTAGTCCCTGTTAGCCATTCTTCCCAATACTGAGCAGCTAAAGTCGGAGCAAGACGGATGTTTAAGACATTTTATAGCTGGCGAAAATGTCCTGACCCCTCTCATTAATATCCACCTCATTCGAACAGTCGTGCTACATATGCCACTGCCAAACGTTAGCGATTTGGTAAAACCAGATGTCATTGTATAAAACTTCAGTGTAGTCCAAGCCTCCGACAAGCGATTGTTTCTCACTAGCAAAGGCTCCAGACCCTCTGTACGAAGCAAACGTAGAACAAGACGATGGTTTTCACCAGACTTCTGGAAAATGGAAGAGCGCACCATTTCGGACTTTGTTGGAGTACAGGCGGCATGTAACGCAAAACTCTCACTACTAGATCTCACTACTGGAACTTGTCTTCTTCAATTTTGAAAAATTTTTCATGTATTGAAGAAACTGACCTTTTCTTGAATCACAGTAGCGCATAATCCAATGAAAGTTTACAGGCTGTACCTTTTTCTGTAATTGTCTCCATTTGTTTGCCTAGATAGGGAAACCCCATTGAAAATGTGAAAAATATTAAGGTTATATAATTATACATAATTACTTAGCTTTACATTTTACCAATTAAAG